AGGGCAGTCCTGGATAATTCGGGGAAAAAAAGTTTAGGTCCTCTTGTTTGAGAGCAGAGGGGGTGTTCCCCAGCTCTTTGAATTGAAGGGCTCTGTTGCACTGGATTAAAGTGAGAAGCCAGAAATGGGAGGGGGGGGGGGGGCAGGAGGAGGTTGGAAGGGTATGGGGTGGAGGGCTTTGAAGTCTCCCATAAGAGTTCTAGAAGAAGGAGAAGAGTGTGTGTGTGTGTGTGTGGTAGATATTTTGTCTGGCAACATCAAAGTTGTGTTATCGGCCAGTTTTACCTGTTGACACTTGAAGAAGAATCTAGAATCTGCTCCGTGAGCTGCAAAGCAACGCATTCTCATAAATAAAATCTGCATACTGGACGGGAAGATAAGTATTCATGATATTTCTGCGCTTTCTTCACTTTGATTTGACCGCTTTGGTTTGCTTCCAAAGGAACAATGCTATTTCTTTGTCACCTGAACCCAGGGGTCAGCGTGTGTGTGCATACACAAATGTGCGCATATTGTATGATTACAATATTTTTTTTCCAACCCAACTCCCACACAAAGGCCCGTTTTAGCTAAAATATTTCCCTGAAGTTCACTGTTGGGGTTGAAAAAAGAAGAGGAAAAAAACCACAAGGTCATCAACTGATTACTGAGCAAATCCATTTTCTGAATTCCAAAAACTTTACTCGCTGTACAAGAGTTTAACTCATTAATTCTATGCAACATTCCTGAGCAGCACTAAGTCACAGACATCTTAATATATTCTTGTTTTTAAAAAAAAAAAAAACCCAAAAAGTTCACAATGAAATGTAACTGCTGCTGTTATAGACGGAGAATGATTGTTAAATCTGTCAATCACACAAGGTGTTTGTGCATTAAATACAAGAACCTGTTAGTTTGGACTCTTAAAGCTAAACTCTCTCAAACTTTAATAACTTTATTGGAATTGTAAAACAGCCTTAAGTGGCCTGGCTGAAAAGCTTTAGCTTTAGTTATCTTTAGTTTTTAGTTTTTCTGAAAGATACTTAATTAATAGCAAATACAATTAACAAATACTTATATATATATATATAAAAGTATATATATATAGTATATATATATATATATATGGATGTTTTTGATGTAGGTAGGACACTTAAGCCTCGTTAGCCTAGCCTGGTTAGCCTAGCTCCTATATAGAACACCGAAACAATAGAGACCGTTTTCCTAGCTTTTACATTTGAGGCACTTCTGTAACCAATACTTTAATATTAGAAATGCAAATGTGGGAGCAAAACATTTAAATGTCTTATGAGGAAAATAAATGACTGAGTGCAGTTTCCCTAAAATTCCTTGAGATACACATGTGCATCCTTAGACCTACTGATGCCGACACCTTGGTGGAAAAGTACAGTTTATGTAAATTTCTAAAATACAACTATGTAAAAAGAACTTCACACAGTGCCCTCTTTTGCTCAACTGTCAAATTACTTTTTAGAGTGTGGATGTGTACGGAGAATTCATCAGCAATAACCTTTTCACTTCTGCCAGAGATTATTCCTCCAGTGTGGAATGTGCTGTGATGCTGCGTTCAAAGACACTGCAACACATGTATAAATAAAAAAACGTTCTTTTATCTCCAAGACAAAATGATCCTTACAAATGCAGTGATATAAGAGCATAGATATATATATATTAAATTTAGTTATTTGAGAGGAAAAATGTAGATTTTCTTTGAACCATAAAATTAAATATAAAAATATACAGTACAAGAAAAAATACAATATGTCAAATTAGCTGTCTTAAAAAATGTAATTTATTTGTAATATAAATAAATAATATATTATTTGTAATTACATTTACAATATATTTATTTATTATTTAGTCTGCTAACTTCCTGACATCCAAATATTAAAAATCATATAAATTGATTATAACACAATAACAATGAAGTCACTAATCTTTGTAAAAAGTCAAATGCTTAAATAAAGTGTTTTAAAAACATTTTTAGACACAGTCTGAATTCTTTTGATTTTTTTTTTTTTTTTTTTTTTTGATTGACTACCTTAAAAAATAAAGGCTTCAAGTTTCCAGTTCATGCAAAGTGTAAATGTGTTAAATGTCATATGCAATATGACATTATGGAAATGTTTACTTGCATCATCAGTACCTACTGGTTGGCACAAACACACCATGGAAAAATAGCAGAATTCCTGGATGTTGACTTCCAAAAGGTGGGACAGGTTCGGAGAATGCCAAATTTGATTCAACCTGTTGCCAGATCAAATGTTTACCTCTCCACTGGCTGCAGTCCTGCTCATGCTACACACATAAAAACCATCGATTGGTTCTTTCTCTACTTCCTGTCTTGTCCCTGGCTCCAACCAAACCAACTGGGCCCTGAAGCCTGATTCCAGGTTGTGTAGAGGCCAAATGATTTTGACCAGTCTGTGTAGGGGCTGTTTTGGAGGAACTCTGGTTCTGTTCTTCTGTTCTTCTGCTGGGATGAGGGACATATGGGACACAGAGGGAATTGGGGAGGAAACCAGAGGTAGGGGAAAAAGGGGTGAAAAATGTGTGCAGGGGAAGGGGCGTCTGATTCGACCATCACATCCCACTAACAATTTCTGTCAGGTCCCTGGAGGTTCCCTAATGAGCCCCACCGATACGGCCGAAGGCAACTTCCCCGTGCCAGCCCGCTGAAGTGAGAAGCCAGAAGATCGACACCTAGCAGCAACTCAATTTTTAATTAGGGGCGACTCTTTTTTTTTTTTTTTTTTTCATTCCCTTTCACTTTTCTTTCCTTCACTGCTGTTGTCACTCAGACTGGAAAAACAAGTGTTCTACATGACGGGAACAATGTTTTCATCGCACGAGACAAAGATGTAGTGAATGGAATCAGACAGGAGACGCTGGCAGCATCAGAACAACAGACAGAGTTTTCACTTTTACTTTAAATTTTCACCGTGGACAAAAAGAAAAATCTAGAGTTTGTCTGTTAACGACAATATAAATGAAACATTACATTTTTTTTTTTTTGTCTTCGTCTGGTTTGTAAGGAGACAAAGGACTGGGCGGAACTTTAAGTCTTCAAAACAGGCCAATTACGTGTAGAATAAGGTACAGGGTGTACAAGGCTAGTTCAATCTGTCACATATGGAGATAATCCCCCCTTCCTCCCCCACTCCCTCCCTCACACTCACACAAAAAGAGAGAAAGAATAAAAACAAAGAAAGAAAAGTGCTACCCTTAAGTCTGACGTAGCCCGCGGCAAAACCTGGCCTCTGCTCCAGAGGTGAAAATCCCTGTTGTCACTGGTGTGAGAAGGATGTTTTCAGAAGTAACATTTCTACCACTTCACATCTCTTCTTCTCATGTGTTCATTTCTTCCCTCGTCTGTTGTGACCCTTTGTGATCACACCTTGTTTGGACCTGACCAACACCACCGCTGTAGCTGCAAATGATCTCATCCTGTAGAAATGGCACACAAAGGAGCTGTGAGGTATAGAGTGTGTTGTTGTCAAGGGTCAAGGGTCACAGTTTCAGGGTCAGGTTCATGACCCTGCTAAGTGTTGACCTAAACCTGGATGGAAATGAAATGAAACGCTTTGACAGGAAACTGCTGTCGTCCTGTCAGATTATTGGAGCGTTATTGATGTAGGTGTGATGAATGTGTGTGCAGTACAGTCACCGACTTTGATGAGTTAATAAACACTACACACTCTGTTGGGAGTCTTTTATACAAATTTTAAAAAGTACTTTCACTTTAAAAAAACAACATTAGGTATAATCACTAGGCTCAGATAACTTTTTATTCAACTTTTAATTTGTGGGGTTTTTTGAATGAAATGCAGAAACAATACTTGAGTAAAAGGACACATTCAAAAATTCATACAAAAAATTAAAAAAAAGAGCTCTTCCCTATTTATCACTTCTGACAATGTCTTTAAAAAAAATCACAAAATTCAAAATGTTTTTCTGTGAAGTCTTATCTTTTGCACTGCTAGGCGTTTTTATTGTTATTATTATTATTAATTTTATTATTTTATTACAGGGTGGACTTGACATTGACATCACCAGAACGTGGGGCAAAGAAAGGGTGGGGGGAGGAGGGGAGGGGGTCAAGTCAAATAAGAAAGTCCAGTAACAGAAACATTTTCTTTTCTTTTCCTGTTTTAATGCAAGGTTAATTTTTCTACTGTTAAATAAAACACTATCAGTGTCTTCAGTTATGGAAATGATGACGTACAAACTGTAGGATAAATGTTGTCGTGCTGTTGTCGTAGATACAAAATAAACTGCTCTAAGTCCAAATGTTGACAACAGCTGTGAGAAAAGCCAACAAAAAACAAAGCCAACACAAAACAAGTCATTTTTTGTGTTTAAAGTTAAAACATTTATCAAATGTTATAAACATTCAGTTAAAACATAAGATAAGAAATGACAGAATTACCTTTTCAGTTTTGTACTACAAGACTGGATTACCACTAAACATTTCCTTTTTCTGTATTGTACTTAGAGTATACAGTATCACCACTGTGTTTATTATTTTTAATTAATTTGGTTTTGTATGATTACACTTAATTCACAGGTGTTTTAACACTGTTTGTGTCTAATCATCTGCAGGTTTAAACAGCTTCGTGAGCATGGTTTTACAGAAATGTCCAAACAAATGTCCACTGAAACTTTAGTTCAACTAGGAATAAATTTAAACTGCACCTCATCATTATCATTTTTTTATTAAAATCATGTCAAAGTATACGTTACGATATTTGAAAGCATTTGCATTAAAAACACAAATCACTCACACTGCGAACGATCATCTGACTGGAGTGATTTACTTTCTCTAAATCCTTGACACACAAAGGTCTCTCCCTGTAATTTATACCAAAATATGCACAGAAAGGAAGAGGAAATTGTCAGGGCATCTGCACGTGTGTGTGCGTCTGTGTGTGTGTGTGTGAGAGAGAGAGAGAGAGAGAAAGAGAAAAGAAAGCGAGCGATGGAGAGGGGTGAAAAGCGAGAGAAAGAGAAAAGAAAGAGAGCGATGGAGAGGGGTGAGAACAAGTGGTGACGTAAGGGTGAGGGGCTCTGGGTGGATGCCCCGCTGTTTGGCCATACGCTCCTGACTTCTTCTGCCTTTTCAGCCTGGCTGTCCAGAGGGCTGATTTACATTTGTGTGTGTGTGTGTGTGTGTGTGCATGCGTAGGATGTGGTGGGGGTGAGGGTGCCGGGGTCTGCCTGCTCTTCCACGCAGTAGTGTGGTGGGTGAACGTGGGTCTGATGGAGGAGGAGTGAGAGTGCGTGTGGTAGCGAGGCAGGGTGGAAACCGCCGTGCTGGCAGAGAGGACCTGTCGTTTCCATACAGCCCATGATAATCAGAACCATTTGAGCTACAGCCAAGTAGCCGAGCCTCCTCCACACCCTGTGAAGAAATGCTGGTGATGGGGCACGCTAGGAAGGGAGAAAGAGAGAGGGAGGGAGAGAGGGAGAGAGAAAATGCAGATGAAAGGAAGTGTTGGTTTGTTTGCTCTGACCTTAGCATAGGAAATGTGTGTGTGTGTGTGTGTGTGTGTGTGTGTATTCATGGTGGTAAATGCAAAACAAGCACATATGATTGTATGGCTACACTTTAGCAGCAAACTCTTCCCATTGCCAGTGGTCATTTGGTGAACTGGAGGTGACCTCAAAGACCCATGACCTTTTTCTTTATTATTATTAATCAGAAAAGCTGCAGAATGTGGTTAAAATTCACAGAATTTACAGAAATATTACTCCACAGATGAATCTTGTATGTTTGTCGCTAATGAGAGTGTGGGGTTTTTTTTTTTACAGAATAGGATTTTTATGAAACAATGTTTACCCTTGTTTAGCATGCAGTTAATTCATGGAATAGAGCTTTTAAATGCTGACCTGTAGACCTGAAAACTCAAGTCTGCCTGACCAATGATGCCAAACTCAGCATTCAAAGCACAATAACTCTTGAATTCTTTGTTTGCGTACATTTGGGGACCCAGTTGTTCACCCTTAGCCCTCATAGTGACTAGTATAAAAACAGCCCCCCCTCCCCCACTGATGCCACTGATTGAATGAGTCTAATTTAGTTTATGTACGTACAAATCTTTAATAATGAAAGTTTTAAAAAGAACAGGCATGTTGTTAGAGACACGATGAGTCTTAAAATGGGTTAAAGATGCTGCTTAGCAGGAGGGAGTGTGGGGTCTCTAGATATGCACGTACTGTATGTGTGTAAGAGTGTGTGCGCAAGTATGTTTGAGTGAGCTACAGGACTTTGAGTGTGTGTGAATGCATGTGTGTGGCCCATCTGGTGCTGCCCTCACTGCATCTATGATGGCATGTCGTCCACCCCCCTCGTCCACCCCCCCCACCCCCCCCAGCCCCTGCCCATCACTCTGTGTGTGCATGTCCTCACCTGGACCTCTCTTTGCCAGTCTGGCCTTCTGAAGTGTGTGTGTGTGTGGGTGTTTGGCTGCCTGCCAGCCTAACGAGGGCCCCGGGCCCATATGTGACTTTCTCTTTAATGGGTCCACATGACAGGGACAGAGGAGCTGGCCGTCGGCCCAGAGTAAAACTGACACCAGCGGACCCCAAGAAGCCAGTGGTACAGTGTGTGTGTGTGTGTGTTTGCCTGCCTGCCAGCCTAACGAGGGTCCCGGGTCCATATGTGACTTTCTCATTAATGGGTCCACATGACAGGGACAGAGGAGCTGGCCGTCGGCCCAGAGTAAAACTGACACCAGCGGACCCCCAGAAGCCAGTGGGACAGTGTGTGTGTGTGTGCATGTGTACGCGTGCTTGGCCACAGATGCCCCGAACATGTGGCCTCTGGTTCTCTCTTCCAGTAGGAATCACTAATTACAGGCTGGAACTCTAACCACCTCGGCCTCAGGTCCGCCTGCTTCGTCAGATTGTTCAATTGTTGTTGTTCATGCTTAAACATAAATGTAGAAATCAATAAGTTTACAAAAAAGAAACACAATTGGTGACAAACTACTGGTATTGATTAAAGAATCAAAAAGCTTTCCTTTTCACACGACACTGACAACAGACTACGACAATGACATGGAGATTGTGACAGGCTCCAATACCTGCAAAACGCAGGTATGAATAGAAAAAATAATAATAAAAATGGGCAGAACAAATCTCTCTCTCTCTCTCATATACAATCCTTCTCCTTTGTTGCCACTGTGTCTTTTTTTTTCTAGCCACACATGCAGGTCATTGGTGTAAAACCAAATAAGTAGGAAGAAAAAAACAGAGGAGTGGTCCTCCTCAACATTAATATTATGAACTTATCACAGTGTCCATGAAACCATCAGCTGTAACAGTTTTAAATGAAGACCATTTCCCCACGCGCACACACACACACACACACACACACACACACAGACTTTTTCTTCTGCCTTTTTAATTCTCACTTACACACCTCGGGAGTGAAATGACCAAAGCTAGTCAGACTAAACAAATAAAAAGAGTGACTGATAGGATCAGAGGTTGTTAAAGGTAATGAATCTATAGCTGTGTTTGTGCAGCCATTGTCATTTATAATTGCACCAGTGTTCTTCAGCAGCTGAAAAATGGCAGCGTCGACAGCTCAAACAAAACGCTCTGGCTGCCGTTATTTTACTACAATATTTCCCTTCTTACAATTTACTGGCTGTGGTTTTTTTATAGGCTTCTTCACCGAGAGTCTGAAAAAGTCTTTTTACAGAGAGAGAAAAGGCCTGTCACTAGGTAGACAAAAGGTGAACGGAAGGACATTACGAAGGGCCTGTGGTGTTTATTAAAGGAACAGTACAACAATATTTCACATACGCAATAGTACTTTGTATTTTAGTCAAAGTAAAGTAAAGAAGCTTGTTGTGTGTAGTTTATGGTTATGGGTTTGTTTTGGATCAAACATTCCTTACATCCAGCTTAGGGATGCACACATACACAACTTACGATACCATCTGATTCACTTTTTTTTTTTGTTCACTAAGTCAAGAATTTCAATACATTTTTTTAAAAACAAAATGACTTCCAGACAAATTACAACTAAATACATTTCAAACTCATGGTAGCCTGAACAAACGGTTCTGTAGCTTCAGACAGATGATTCCCCCAAGATCATCATTTATTATTTAAACATAATATGCAAAAGTTTCTAAACAAAATCACTTATTATGCAATAAGGAAATAAAACAACTGACACAACAACATTACATGAGTAGACAGTACTCACTACACACTACAGGATGGCTGGACACAGTGAACCTCTACGGGGACAGAGTACTCACCCTGCTCCGTGCCCCACACATACACACACTCCAAAAATACTGTACAAGACGTGCAACATTAAGACAAAAACTCACCTGAGGGAAGTGTGGCGATCAGGGTGTTTCAGACCAGCACCTTAACCACCTTCAGGTCACCACTCCTGCAGCACAAAAAGAACAATTTAAAAAAAGCTACTAATAAGTGCTGCAACAGTCACTTCTGTTGATATAATAAAAAGGAAAAAAGTCTGCCAGAATCAACCAACAACATCAAAATAAACTAAACCCAAGAAACAACAATGTAGCCAACAACAACAACAATAGGAGAAAGACAACAGACTAAAGCAAAATTCTGCAAAACAAACCCAAAATAAAGAAAAGTGTCTTTACCTCAATTCACACACTAGGCCAAAGCAGCAAAATAACCTGAAAAAAAACATTCAACAATATTTGAAACAGACCTTCACACTGACCAACAGACCACATGGAGGAAGTGGAGAACGAGTGTTTCCACCACAATGGCCACATAGTACTAGCTCCAATGATGATATACAGCAGGTTAGCACAGTGCCCTCTAGTGGCAGGGAGGGCAATGACCTGTTACATGGCATACTAATTTTACCTGGTCAAAATATTTTTTTCTCTCATTTTTGCCGACTGTTTCATACCAAAGTAAGTAACTTGGCTCATACTACAGTTTGTTGGAAACACCAGCTGGTGAATGTACAAAAGGAAAGCCAGGCAGCAAGTATAGGTGGTTCAAGGATCCAGGAAGCTGGATCAAACAGGAGGCAGAAGTGAACTCTTGATCGAATGCATACTGTAGTCCAAAGAAAGAAGAGAATGTCCCTTTAACACAGAAACAACAATAAAACCTTTTTCTGTTCTATTTTCGGACTAATTTTGTCCAGTTTACACTGTGCAGCACAGAGGTACCACACCTTCACAGTAACACTGTTAGTGATGTTGATTTGGTTGTGGCTCAAAATCAGTTTACTATAAGGTGCATATGAGTGGTCTGTAGACTCTAACCCTAACCCTAGGTTCTGGTGAGGTGGAAATGAGTCAAAGCCCTGCTTCCTTGGCCGTGCAGCTGCTCGCAATTACCCAAGAGGGGAACGAAATACTGCAAAGCCCCATGGCACTGAAGGCCTCCCCTCAACTCACACTGTGAGGCGCTAACTACTAGTAGACCTGAAAATTTGTCAGAACCAATCAGAGGCAAAGGGGCAACAGTAGCAAGGTGACAGGATTATTGGTTTGTGAGGTAGTTGCCAAGTTCTTAGTACTTCCTTTTTCTTATTACTTGTATAAATTAACATTAATCATAAAAAATTGTATAATTAACTTTTTAGACCACATCTTAGTTATGAGCCAATCAAAATCAAAAGTCAAAACAAAGTGTTGCTTGCCAAAGCTAAAAATTTTATTTTCTAGATCTTTCCCTCAAGACTTTATTACCTGTTTTTTTTTTTTAATTTATAAGTTTAGGGTTTTTTTTAGGGCTGTGCTACAATTAAAAATTTAATCATGATTAATCACATCACATTATGCAATTAATTACACAAAATCCAATAATCATTTTAAAGGTTGTGTATAGTACATTTTTAATTTTAAATGTGCCATAATATTTGTTGTGCAAACACTTATATCACTATTTACATTAAATCTCAACTCAAAAAATGTTATCAAGCAAATACTGTGTTGCATGTTGGTGTTCACAGAAACATGGATGAACTCTTTTTGCTGTGTCCACTGAGTCATTTTCTTTTTGGGGGACGAACAAAGTACTATCCTGTCCTATTTCCCAAACAAACAGCTAATGCTATTTCTGACTTAAACCAGTTCACCAGCTAGACACCCGAAACCCCAATATGGAAGAAATATAGAAGTGTATTATTAACAGAAATACACTGACGTGTGAAAATGTGAATGGTTTTGTATGCAATCTGCAGAAATCTGAGGTTCAAAACAAATTATATGCCTTTGGAATTTCCTTGTCACTGTAGTTGAGAAAAAGAAAACATTGCAGCAAAGCTTGAAAGATATCAATGGAGACAGCTGATAAAATATTAAACCTTTGATGTTTGTGATGTCCAAGAGTAATGATGAACTTCCTGTCCTTTTTTCCTAATCTATTCTCATGTGCTTTGTCTCCTTTTCTTTATTTACTCCCTCTCTTTTCCTAACCACCGCTGCAGCGAACCCCACCACTGTATCCTCTGTCTCCTCACTCTTCCAGAGGCTCATTAGTTAGTGACTGAAACACTGCTATTTTCTACACATTGTAAATTATAACACGCACAGCGACAGTACTCGTTAGCAGCCTTGTCAATCCACAGAGCGTGCAAGGGGAGAAACAATCGGGGCTGGGGTCAGCAGTGAAGATGTTCGCTCTCAATTCATCTATCACATCTTCCAGGAAATCAGTTTGCGTCCCGTCATCGTCACCGTGACACAACAACAACGGTGATATAAATAGGAAGGAACTTCTGAAAGGGGAAAACATACATTTAAATGCAATTTGATAAATGTCACTCATCTTTCCCTTTGTTACTCGAGTCCTTTGTGCGTAACTGGAAACCACAAACTTTTTTCTACAATACTCCGATTCAAGAAGCAAACAAAGTGAAAAGCAAACAACTTACAGAAAAAGTTTGTGTATTTTCCAACACACTTGACCAAACATTTGTTTCTTTTCTTGTCCCTTCAGCTTAAATACTGACAGAGATTCGATGAGCTCGCCTCACGAACTGTAGCTGTTGCTTCCTTGCAGATGTCATCTTCATGGTTCATTAACTGTATTTGTCTCAGAGAAACAGAGTGGGAGAGGATGAAGGATTAAGACAGGTGAAGATTAAATGATAACAGGGGCTTAGGAAAATAATTGGCACCACAAATAAAAGCCGGGTGTCACCGCAACACTGTCCATGTTGGAGACAGAAGATGAAAATGCCTCTCTGCAGCAATTCAGTGCAGGAGACGGAGGCTTTGAAGAAGAACCTGAAGTGTGAGGTTTAAAAACAAAATGACTTCCAGACAAATTACAACTAAATACATTTCAAACTCATGGTAGCCTGAACAAACGGTTCTGTAGCTTCAGACAGATGATTCCCCCAAGATCATCATTTATTATTTAAACATAATATGCAAAAGTTTCTAAACAAAATCACTTATTATGCAATAAGGAAATAAAACAACTGACACAACAACATTACATGAGTAGACAGTACTCACTACACACTACAGGATGGCTGGACACAGTGAACCTCTACGGGGACAGAGTACTCACCCTGCTCCGTGCCCCACACATACACACACTCCAAAAATACTGTACAAGACGTGCAACATTAAGACAAAAACTCACCTGAGGGAAGTGTGGCGATCAGGGTGTTTCAGACCAGCACCTTAACCACCTTCAGGTCACCACTCCTGCAGCACAAAAAGAACAATTTAAAAAAAGCTACTAATAAGTGCTGCAACAGTCACTTCTGTTGATATAATAAAAAGGAAAAAAGTCTGCCAGAATCAACCAACAACATCAAAATAAACTAAACCCAAGAAACAACAATGTAGCCAACAACAACAACAATAGGAGAAAGACAACAGACTAAAGCAAAATTCTGCAAAACAAACCCAAAATAAAGAAAAGTGTCTTTACCTCAATTCACACACTAGGCCAAAGCAGCAAAATAACCTGAAAAAAAACATTCAACAATATTTGAAACAGACCTTCACACTGACCAACAGACCACATGGAGGAAGTGGAGAACGAGTGTTTCCACCACAATGGCCACATAGTACTAGCTCCAATGATGATATACAGCAGGTTAGCACAGTGCCCTCTAGTGGCAGGGAGGGCAATGACCTGTTACATGGCATACTAATTTTACCTGGTCAAAATATTTTTTTCTCTCATTTTTGCCGACTGTTTCATACCAAAGTAAGTAACTTGGCTCATACTACAGTTTGTTGGAAACACCAGCTGGTGAATGTACAAAAGGAAAGCCAGGCAGCAAGTATAGGTGGTTCAAGGATCCAGGAAGCTGGATCAAACAGGAGGCAGAAGTGAACTCTTGATCGAATGCATACTGTAGTCCAAAGAAAGAAGAGAATGTCCCTTTAACACAGAAACAACAATAAAACCTTTTTCTGTTCTATTTTCGGACTAATTTTGTCCAGTTTACACTGTGCAGCACAGAGGTACCACACCTTCACAGTAACACTGTTAGTGATGTTGATTTGGTTGTGGCTCAAAATCAGTTTACTATAAGGTGCATATGAGTGGTCTGTAGACTCTAACCCTAACCCTAGGTTCTGGTGAGGTGGAAATGAGTCAAAGCCCTGCTTCCTTGGCCGTGCAGCTGCTCGCAATTACCCAAGAGGGGAACGAAATACTGCAAAGCCCCATGGCACTGAAGGCCTCCCCTCAACTCACACTGTGAGGCGCTAACTACTAGTAGACCTGAAAATTTGTCAGAACCAATCAGAGGCAAAGGGGCAACAGTAGCAAGGTGACAGGATTATTGGTTTGTGAGGTAGTTGCCAAGTTCTTAGTACTTCCTTTTTCTTATTACTTGTATAAATTAACATTAATCATAAAAAATTGTATAATTAACTTTTTAGACCACATCTTAGTTATGAGCCAATCAAAATCAAAAGTCAAAACAAAGTGTTGCTTGCCAAAGCTAAAAATTTTATTTTCTAGATCTTTCCCTCAAGACTTTATTACCTGTTTTTTTTTTTTAATTTATAAGTTTAGGGTTTTTTTTAGGGCTGTGCTACAATTAAAAATTTAATCATGATTAATCACATCACATTATGCAATTAATTACACAAAATCCAATAATCATTTTAAAGGTTGTGTATAGTACATTTTTAATTTTAAATGTGCCATAATATTTGTTGTGCAAACACTTATATCACTATTTACATTAAATCTCAACTCAAAAAATGTTATCAAGCAAATACTGTGTTGCATGTTGGTGTTCACAGAAACATGGATGAACTCTTTTTGCTGTGTCCACTGAGTCATTTTCTTTTTGGGGGACGAACAAAGTACTATCCTGTCCTATTTCCCAAACAAACAGCTAATGCTATTTCTGACTTAAACCAGTTCACCAGCTAGACACCCGAAACCCCAATATGGAAGAAATATAGAAGTGTATTATTAACAGAAATACACTGACGTGTGAAAATGTGAATGGTTTTGTATGCAATCTGCAGAAATCTGAGGTTCAAAACAAATTATATGCCTTTGGAATTTCCTTGTCACTGTAGTTGAGAAAAAGAAAACATTGCAGCAAAGCTTGAAAGATATCAATGGAGACAGCTGATAAAATATTAAACCTTTGATGTTTGTGATGTCCAAGAGTAATGATGAACTTCCTGTCCTTTTTTCCTAATCTATTCTCATGTGCTTTGTCTCCTTTTCTTTATTTACTCCCTCTCTTTTCCTAACCACCGCTGCAGCGAACCCCACCACTGTATCCTCTGTCTCCTCACTCTTCCAGAGGCTCATTAGTTAGTGACTGAAACACTGCTATTTTCTACACATTGTAAATTATAACACGCACAGCGACAGTACTCGTTAGCAGCCTTGTCAATCCACAGAGCGTGCAAGGGGAGAAACAATCGGGGCTGGGGTCAGCAGTGAAGATGTTCGCTCTCAATTCATCTATCACATCTTCCAGGAAATCAGTTTGCGTCCCGTCATCGTCACCGTGACACAACAACAACGGTGATATAAATAGGAAGGAACTTCTGAAAGGGGAAAACATACATTTAAATGCAATTTGATAAATGTCACTCATCTTTCCCTTTGTTACTCGAGTCCTTTGTGCGTAACTGGAAACCACAAACTTTTTTCTACAATACTCCGATTCAAGAAGCAAACAAAGTGAAAAGCAAACAACTTACAGAAAAAGTTTGTGTATTTTCCAACACACTTGACCAAACATTTGTTTCTTTTCTTGTCCCTTCAGCTTAAATACTGACAGAGATTCGATGAGCTCGCCTCACGAACTGTAGCTGTTGCTTCCTTGCAGATGTCATCTTCATGGTTCATTAACTGTATTTGTCTCAGAGAAACAGAGTGGGAGAGGATGAAGGATTAAGACAGGTGAAGATTAAATGATAACAGGGGCTTAGGAAAATAATTGGCACCACAAATAAAAGCCGGGTGTCACCGCAACACTGTCCATGTTGGAGACAGAAGATGAAAATGCCTCTCTGAAGTGTGAGGTAAAAAAAAAACCAACAACAAAGTGAATGAAGGAAGTGACAGAGCAAAACAAGAAGAACAGTGTGCAGCAGAGAAGGGTGGGTTTTGCCAAATGTGTTTATTGCATAAGTGTGTGTCTGTCTTCATTCCAGAAGATGTCATGCTGTTTGAGCAAACGGTTCTAAGCTAAGGCCATCCACCTCCTGCTGCCTGCTCTGCCACCCCTGCTGTACCCAGCCATCCTCATGCCAACGCCACAGCCACTAATGCCAGGAGC